TCTCTTCTACGAAACTCAGTACTCATCGTCAGAAGTTTAGATTTGTATTCGTACTATCTTTGTTTTTCAGACATAGGTTGAACATTTTGTTTTTAAACGTACATGTTTCAAACACTAAACTATAATTTCTAATTTACGCATAGAACGAAACGGATACATTATAATTTAGTTAGTCATTAACAAGAAGAGCCACTTACTTGAATGAGAAGCATCTCGCCTATATAACAATAGAGATATATGTGCAGCAGGACGAAGCAGATGAAGAGGACGAAAACATTTGAAAGCTGAAGATCCCATTTCCATTTTTAAGTACTACCTGATTAATTCGTGTTATTCCTCTAATGTTACAGTCATGAAATATTAGAAGTACAGCAAGGGGAACTTACGTTGATAAATAGAAAACCTTGGAAACAGATTTCGATGGTGCAGAGCAATAATTGAAGCAACAACAATATGTTGAAGCACGCTTCGATCTTTGCAGCAAGTCTTCAATGAAACGAAAAGAAAAGTTTGTAGAATTACTATTGAGGAACACGTGAAGCATCACGAGCACCAATATTTAACAAACAGAGTAACTTAATGGCCAAAATTATTCTCCGTCTTAATGAAAAAAAAAAAAATTAATTAAATATTAATTAACAATAAAAGTTACATTATTTTTTGAATGATATGTACGAGTTAAAATATCGAAGTGAGAAAGTGGGAAAATTTTCGTATATTATTACACTGTTTGATTGTAATATTGATATATGAGATTATAGAATAAAGATATAGAATATGAGAAAACGAAAAATAAGTCTTGGAAGATTAAATTATCGCATTGTAACAATATACATCATGGTATTCAAACAATTTTCAATAATTGTAAAATGATCGTAAAAGAAAATTTGAATTAATAATACACATCTAATGCTCCAAGTGCTCAGTTGGTTTGATTAAAGATTAAATTGTAACCATGGGACATTGAATTCGCGAACAATACATCAACATCATGTTCCTAAAATATTGAAATTATCGTACATTATCATAATATTAATAATAAATAAATAAATACACAGTTTTTTGAAAAATTACAATTATAATTAGACAAACTATTCACCCGTTCAGATGATCGTGCTTGGTAACAATCAAAGTCAGCTCCCTTTGAAACTCATCTATACTTCTACACCGTTTGTCGTCGCCCATCAATCTTAATAATTTCATCTTCAAAATTGTAAACTGTCCGCACATGTGCGTGATCAACATCGCGATGAAGGCATCGACCGTAGTGTAACAAATAGTGGCTGAATAGGCCGCGATCACTTGAGCAAAGTTGACCATTATCAACGTCGGTGCTGGCCGAACGTCGAAAGGAAAATATCCGGGATAGAGGCTCAAACGATCCTGATTTTCGTTTACTCTGTCGGCCAGATAGACAGTCACTACTCGAAAGGTTAGAAATGCAGTGATCATCGCGAGAGATGATGACGAGCACAGTATAGAAATGAATTTCGCAAGTTTGGCCATCTTCAGCATCGTTGCCTTTTCCTCCTCCGTTTTTACACTGTGCCAGTCGTCGTAAAAGGACTTCATGATGGACTTGAAAGCTTGAAATATAACCAATTTTGATATTATGTAGAATATTAATCTTTATGATACTTATAATCTTACAATGTTATAGTAAGTTAATGATAATTAATTAACAATAATATTATATTGAATAATATATAATGTACAATATAACATATAATATTAGGCAATAGAATATTAATTTTTAAGTATATGAATATTATTCTATTATGTAATTCTATTATTGTCATGATCAATTCATCAAACAGCTTCAGTAGATAATTCTCTATTATTAGATAATTATCTATATTATTATCATAATTCTATTACGTAGAATACAATATTATAATTATTAATATTAATATTCATTATTAGTCTTCATATCCAATATTAATTTTCATCAATTTAGAATATCAATTTCAATACGAAATCTTTATACTGCGCTCACTCATTTATATTTATCGACTAATTATCAAATGAAGAAAGTACATAATTGTGCGAAGCAGTAAAGAAAATTCCTTTGTAACACCAAAATAAATTTGAATTAAACATTTATAACAGGACATAATTAAACATTTATAACAGAATAAACTCAGAGAAAAATTTAGTGGAAAATTGATTGATTTTAATTACAGTGAAATGTTAGTAGAAATTTTTATACGTACATTCCTTGTAATACCAGATGTAGATCGACTTCATCATCGCGGTTATATAAGGTATATTAGCCATCGACAGATTTTCTGTCACGAGCTCGAGATCTCCCCATATGAAAAATAGATTCACACTCTGCGGCCCAACTCCAAACATAAATACAATGGACAAATAAAGTAGAATTTTAAACTTTGACAGACGTTCGCCGGTCGTGCGCGGTTCCGGCCAGATGCCAATTAATTCCATGCCCCAACGATTCCATCCTATAGCTACTCCCAATCCTGAAAGTTTGTAAAATATTTCTTTGAAAAATCTCACGTTCTAATGACACTAACGTTAACATTATATTTGCCACTTTACGAGATAACACGATAATATAGAACCTTCTTTCACAAGTTATAAACACTTATAAAAGAGATACCATGTAACTCCAATAATTATTTAATAGAGAAATCCATTTATTTTTGTCGAAACGAGGATTGATAATAATACAGGGACACTTGTAATAAAAAGAAAATGAAATCTTGAAACATTTTTAAATTAAACCAGAACAAAAATTCGGTAAAATTCACGAAAATAAAGTAGCATAGGAGACCATAAAATGGTGTTTAATTAAACAAGAGCACAGTCTCGGGGAAATTTCACGAATATCGTGAGACATAGATGACAGAAACGTACCTGTATCGTAGTCCATTGAAGTCATGCATACGCACGCGAACTGCACGATCAAATGATTGTAGCGAACTGTCCTGTTCTTTACGTGAAGAAGAGGCGCATGCTCTTTTTTGGTGCCCCATGTGTAGATGCTAAAACTTCTAAGTACGTAATTAGACTTCCAAGTATCGCATCCATGAGGATAGACATATTTTTTTAATCATCTTCAACTAACAACAAACTGTCGTTAACTGAAATACTTACCGCGTACTCCTCTGTCTTCTGCTGAATAATTGATCGCGTTCGGGCAGAAACTTTTACCGCCACTTCGTCTTTATTTTCGTTTGTCTGCTTCTATAGCTGGTTTCTAATTGTAAGCTTGTTCGTATTTATGGATAGATGTACTTCTTCGTGGAATATTGATAAACAGGTGATTCAGAAGATTTTTAATAAACTTTAACTTTTATTCTGAATATTTTCTATATTTCGGCAGATTTTGTATACCGTAAAATATTTCTTTGAAAAATCATATTTGCAGCTACAAATTTCCCATAAGTACATGGAATTTCACGGCTTATAACATTAAATAATGTAACACGAAAACGGTTATTAGATCAATAAGAAATTCTGATGTTTTAATACTAAAATGTTAAGGTCATATTAGAATATTGGAATAATGTTTAATACTGAAATATTTATTTCATTGTAATACAACTCGTAACTGTTTGAAGATTATTTCGGTTTTTTAAAACAGTTTCATTCAGATTTTTATGTAACAGTTATTGACACTGTTTTTTATACTGATACTGTTAGAATGTTCAGAGAAGAGTGTAATTCTCAATTTTCGAATTTTTTTTATATTCATTATGTATGTTTACGGGCAATTGGGCATAATACTTAAGTATTATTTGTAACAATAGCTTTATCATATTGTTCATAGCATATATGTATGTAAGATAAGAAACTCACTTGTCCAAGAAGCATTTTTCCCACGCAGCAATAAAAGATGCAGCATAGTATAAATTACGTGTATGATAAAGAATATCATTCCAACAATTACGTCTGCTTGATCTACGGACTAAAAAGAATTTGCATTACACATTGATTTCTTCTTTCTTTATTTAATAGTTTATTTAATTTTAACGCACGGTTATCATGCGATATCTAGTGAGCCAGACCATCGCAGATTATAGTTTGAACAAGTAACATAAGGTTGAAGCAATCTTCCACGATCACAGCGAACCTTGATACAAATGTTATTTTATCAGTTATTTGCTAAATTGACTGACACTTTGTTCGCTTCAAGAATGATAACTTACATTAGAGTGATGGAAATGTTCTGTTTTTGTTTTTTGAAAGGAAATTAATTATTAATCGTACAACTTTCCATTAACACATCTGCAACTGGTTTTCTAATATTTGATTAAAATAAAACAGTACTGAAATAAAATAAATTAAAGTAAAAATTATATTGAATTAAATTATGTTTCTTTTTGAACAATATGTTCAAAATAAATAAAATTTGAGTTGACGTGAATCCACATCAGCGATTAATAGATAGTTAATTAATCTTCAACACAATATACATTTTTTGTTATTTTCTCTTCCTCTCTCATGATTAGATTTCGGTCTTTTATAAGAAATTAAATACATATTGAATACATGTAAAACACTCAACAATACATTCTAAAGAATGAGTAAAACAATTTTCATCAACTTTTACTTTCTTAATTATAACTGTTAGAGATTAATTCAGTTTTAAGACGCCTAATTCACCATTCATTTTCAGATATTGTTCTTCATTCTGATGAAATTTTGTTTTTTGAATCATTTAGTGTCGTAGTGTCGTACAACGTTCCTGGTAACGAGAGAAGTTTCCATTTATTGTAATAATTATACAAGTTAAATTTTCTAGAAACGGCAAACAAATAACTTGTGATATTAAAATTTGTTTTTTTTTTTTTTACCACGAGAAAAATGTAAAATCCCGACTGTCTCAACGTTCTTTTTATCCTATATTATACTTTCTTCAATATGAGTCGTAGAATAGTTGATTCTTCAAATTATGTGCAGTGTCTTTCCGAATCGCGATTAAACTTGGAATATCGTGTGTGCCTGCTTAACACTTTCGACTTGACGCGACTGGAAATCTAAATGCTCGAAGAATCACCCACAGAAACGTGGGACCGAAAATGCCGAACTGTTGAATTGTTTAAGTTGATCGTCTATTGTGGTATGCTCCCATCTGTATCTCTCATCTTTTTGTGCCCAAGTCCTCCCGATGAAGACTTGGGTATTTTCCCTTTCTGGAAAACTGTGAGGAAAGGGATTTCGAGAACCGAATACGGACGGAAGAAATTTGACGAGAAAGTTTCCCTTTCCCAGAGGGCCATATGTTCGTCCTAGAGACCATAGTTGGGACAGGGATGGTTGTAATGCTATCGATGAAATGCCTGCATCCAATATGTTAAACATACAAATCTTCTAAACCATCCGTGCCACAAATTACGGTCGTTAACATGCAGTTCTTTTGTATTGTTCATTCTGAAATTGTATCGCTCAGAACTATTACTTAAAATTAATTGCAGTCTGGTAATTCAAGCTTTTTCGACGATAAAAATGAGGATGAAACAATCTAAATACAAAAACCTACGTCCGTCTTCTCCGTAAAACTATATCTTCGATATTATAATTATCTTCAACAAAGTTCCTCGCCACGAGTCGAGTTACAGTTAAAGCTCAAAACTTTTGTCTATTCCGAAGTTTCTTTTCTCATAAAAAATATCATTCGTCATAAAAAAAAAAGATATTCAGTTTGACAAAGAATAGCGAACGACGAGACAGAAGTTTGTGAAAAGCATTTAACATACTCTAAATCGACATCGTGCTGTGTTTCAACAATGGTGACACACTTCGTCGAAACGAACAATTTTACAGATCTGAGTTTATATTTAGTCTAAAGAAAAATTTCCATGTGTATTATGAATAGAGAGATCTAATGGCTAACCCGTTACAGTTAATAACACCGAAAGATATCCCATCGCTGTTTTTAAAATCTGAAACAAGATTTGAATAAGATTTCCGTGGGTCCGTGTATGTTCAAGACAGTAATTAAGACTACGGATTTTCGTGCATACTCACACTTTTGGAAATACAGTGACTAGAGACGGGACGTCTTTTTCTTTTATTTACCAAACATTACAGAAGAACAGCGTACTTTCGTAGACCCCATCGTATCAAATATTTCTTGCAAGTGCATAAAAATCCGCAGTCTACTTAGTAATAATCGAGGTACACACGGTACTGAACATCTGCATGGAAAAAGTATTAAATTTGCCTGCAGTCAAACAGAGTGGGCGAGTGGATCTGTTCATGATGAATAGAAGACATCTGGCTTCCGAGGGTGAAACGTTGTACCAATTCGACTTGTACGCGCAATCACTCATTTCCTTACCCTGAAACATCCAAGGTAATTCTCTCTTCTACGAAACTCAGTACTCATTGTCAGAAGTGTCGATTTCTATTCGTACTGTCCTTGTCTTTCAGACATAGGTTGGACACGCATTTCATTTTTACACGTACATGTGCAAACACTAAACTATAATTTCTAATTTACGCACGGAATGAAACGGGATATATTATAACTTAAGTTATGAATCGAGTGCATTAACGAGAAGAGCCACTTACTTGAACGAAAAGCATCTCGCCTATGTAACAGTAGAGATATACGTGAACGAGGATGAAGCAGACGAAGAGGACGAAGAAAACCAATTGGAAGTTGAAGATCCCGTTTTCGTTTTTAAGTAATACCTGGTTAATTCTTGTTATTTCTCCGATGTTTGAATATCACGGAATATGAAGAATCGTAATAAACGTAACTTACATCGAGAAACAGAAAACCTTGGAAACAGATTTCAATTGTGCAGAGCAATATTTGAAGTAACAACAGCATGCTGAAGCACTCTTCGATCTTCCCTGCTAGCCTTGTAATTATACAATTAAAATATTTTAAAGTATTATATAATTGTACAATTATAATTAAATGAAATATTCACCCGTTCAGTTTCTCGTGCCTGGTGACAATTAAGGAGAGTTCCTTTTGAAACTCATTCACGCTTCTACTTTCTCTTTTGTCGCCCATTAACCTTAATAATTTCTTTCTTAGAATCGCGAATTGTCCACATATGTGCATGATCAACATCGTAATAAAGGTATCGAGCGTAGTGTAACAAATAGCTCCTGAGTATGCCACGATCACTTGAGCGAAATTGACCATTATCAATGTCGATGCTGGTCGAACGTCGAAAGGGAAATATCCGGGATACAAGCTCAAACGATCCTGGTTTACGTTTGCTTTATCAGTTAGATAAACAGTAACCGCTCGAAGACCTAGATATAGAGTTGTCATAGCGAGGCTTAATGACGAACACCACACAGATATTAATTTGGCAGGTTTAGCCATTTTCAGCATCTCCTCTTTTTCCTCTTTCGTTTTTGCATCGTGCCAGTCGTCGTAGAAAGACTTCACGATGAGCTTTAAAGCTTGAAATATAAGCAATTTTAGTAGTATATAAAATCTTAATCTTTATCATATTTACAATCTTTTTTACAATACTGCGATGGATTAATAAGAATAAAATAATTGATAATAATAGTTACAAAAAAAAAGAGAACTTTTTCATAACTCTGAAGTGAATTTAAATGGAATAAAATAATTGTGATTACAGTGGAAAGTTAGTAGAGAATTATATACATACACTTTTTGTAATACAAAGCGAACATGAACTTTATCATCACGTTCATGCCAGGTATATTAGCTGTCGATAAATTTTCTGTAACCAACTCAAGATTTTCCTTTATGAAAAATAGATTCGCACTCTGCGGTCCAACACCAAACATAAATACAATGGACAAACAAAGTAGTGCTTTAAAATTTGCCAATCGCTCGTTGGTTCTACTTGGCTCCGGCCAGATACCAATTAATTCCATACCCCAGCGATTCCATCCTAAAGCTATTTTCAATCCTGAAAATTTGTAAAATATTTCTTTGCAAAATCTCACGTTTTAATGACACTAACGTTAACATTATATTTGCCACTTTACGAGATAACACGATA